GGGGACCGACACGGTCAAGGTTTTGGGATAAAAGAGTTGAGGTTTGGGGCAAATGGTTGAGGTTTGGGAGAAACAGTCTGATTTGGGCAAAACGATTGAGATTTGGGGCAAATATGGTGAAATTTGGGGAAAAATGGTCAAGCTGTCAGGTAAAGAGTTGAGGTTTGGGACAAAACCAGTCCAGGTCTGAGGGAAGTGCTGAAAGCTTGGTGGAAACACTTGAAGTATGGAACAAAGAATGGTTGAGGTTTTGGGGCAAAATGTCAGGGTTTGGGTTATACGGTGGAGGATTGGGGCAAATCGTTGAGAGTTGGGTCAAAAATGGTCAAGGCGTTGGGCAACTTGTCAGGGGTTGATGCAAATGATTGAGGTTTCGGCCAACGGTTGAGTTTTGGGGCAAAAACAGTCAAGGTTTTGGGCGAACAGCCAAAGTTTGTTACAAGTGGTTGAATTTTGGGGCAAAAACAGTCCAGATTTTTGCCAAACGATCCAGGTTTGGGGAAAGAAGTTGAGCTTTGAGGCCAATGTGGTTGACAACTGGGAAAAAGGTCAAGTTTTTTGGCTTAAATGGTCACAGTACGGGACAAATAGTCAAGATTTGGGTTCCATTGTCGATGTTTGAGGGAAATGGTCAAAGCTTGATGCAATCGGTTGAGTGTCGTGGCAAATATTCGATGTGTGGGACAAGGACGTGGGCAGGGTTCGGGGTCCAGGCTGGGTTCAGGGGTTTTGGGAAGATTTGGGGACCCAGCGCGGGGATGTGGGGACACGGGGCTGGGGTCAGGACCCCCACCATAACCAGCACCACCACAATAACCACCAGCGTCTTTCGTGCAGTAGTAGGTGGCCGTGTCGTCGGCCCTGAGGCTGTTCATCTGCAGCTTGAGCGTGCTCTGGGAGTTGTCCCTTGAGATGGTGAAGCGCCCTTTGACCGACGACGCGTAGTATGTGGTGCTACCACCGCTGTCAATACTCGCGACCCACTCGAGCCCTTTCCCGGGTGCCTGTCGCACCCAAACCATGTGGGTGCTGCTGAAGGTGAAGCCGGAGGCCTTGCAGAGGAGGGTCAGGGCTGGGTTTTGGGGTAAAAGCCGGAGATTTGGGCACCACGCAAGGATTTGCTGTCGGTGCAAGAGGTCCGGGCTGGGTGTAACGGGTGGAGGCTGAGAGCCAGGGTCTGGGGGTGGGGGGATGGACGCGGGCTGGGTA